ATATATATATATATATATATGCAATTCCATACAAATGTCAACCTTGCCATGACAAAAAAAGTTTTCACCATAATACGGAAACTTTCTACGTTTTTTGTGTAAGCAAGAACTTTACAGTACTTTAGAAATGCTCAAAATGTCTGTCAATGTTTTCAAACTATTACATTTGATTTACCAAACTCACATAAGTGGCAATTTCACATCCCTCATATCCATAACAACAGCTTTTCCTCATAAATGCAACAATATTAAATAAAATAAAATCAATCATGTTTGTTCTATAGTGAGACAACTCTTATCCTTTTGATTATTATTTCTTTCGGGTCGTGCTGTTTAATTCACAAAATTTCTGCGCAGTGTGTTGTTTTCTGTAACCAGGTGTTCTCTATAAACTTTTTTTGTCACATCCACGCATGTTTATTTTCCTTATTTAAAGTACAAAATATGTTTACAGATTGATATTTTTGTCCTCCAATAACTCTGTGGTCAGTTGTTCTGGAAAAAAAAAAGATGTTTCAATATAATGTTAACATGTACTTTCTCTGTGAATTTATGTTTTGAGTTTTTACTACAAATATCACATCCATAATGCTGGAATTGCTCATATATTAGGGCCGCACAGTATTGGAAAAATCTGCCATTGTTTCTAGCCGAAATAAAACCATTAAGACTTTCTCCAGAAGAAAAAATATTAACAGACTTACTGTGAAAATTTCCTTGCTCTGTTAAACATCATTTGGGACATATCTAAAAAAGAAAAAAAAAAAAAATTTCTAATTCTGACTTCAACTGTATATGTGTATAATTATTATTTTTTTCCTATATTATAATCTGGACTGTTTATTTTGAGCAAATTTTATGATCGCGCATTTTGTATTGTGATGTACAGAACACAGCCATTGAAGTTTGATAGTGCATATAGTATGAATCTTTTGCATTTTTAGATCATGAATGGTTTTATTAATATAAAAAGACTTTTTTTATAATAATTTGCCACAATTCTTCAAATCACTAGACTTTTTTTTTTTACATTGGAAATATAATATTTACATGATCACTTGGAATTTTCTAATTTAATAAGTACAGATTAAAATAACAATGTCGTTTTATTTTTACATTAATATATCTGTTGCACTGAATTATTTTTTCACACATATTTGTGAACTTTGTCTTATGTCTTATGTTGCACAGGTACATTTTTGACAATAGTCATAAATTCATTGTATGGGTCAAAATGGTATATGCCAAAAACCATTATGATATGATATTAGATAAAGTTACTTTGGGGCGACACAGCGGCTCAGTGGTTAGCACTGTCACCTCACAGCAAGAAGATTACTGGTTCGAGTCCTGGCTGGGCCAGTTGGTGTTTCTGTGTGGAGTTTGCATGTTCTCCCCTGTTGGCATGGGTTTCCTCCGGGTGCTCCGGTTTCCCCCACAGTCCAAACACATGTGCTATAGGTACTGGGTTGCAGCTAGAAGCTGTGTAAAACATATGCTGCATAAGTTGGCAGTTCATTCCACTGTGGCGACCCCTGATGAATAAAGAGACTAAGCTGAAGAAAAATGAATGAATGAATTAAGTGACTTTGTAATTGTCCCTTCGTAAAAATGTAAAACCTTTTTTTTTTGGAAACTTTAAATGCAGTTTTCTCAGTGTTATGATTTTTTTTAAAAACCCTCAAATTCTAGCTATTTATTTAGCTGTATCTCCCATCAAATATAGTCCAATTTATTTATTGTTTATTCAAATTTTAGATTATGCATAATTATCAATTTCCAATTGCTCAATTTTTTGACTGGTTTTGTGATCCAGGGTCACATTTGGACATTTTATTGAAAACAAAAACATTTAAAATAAAATTTAAACAGACATTTGCATTAATACAGTATTTTATAGTTTATAAAATCTTCTTTTGGAAAAAAAGAGTTTATAAAATTACAGTGTTTTGACTTATGTAACAAAATACATTTTTAGCATTTTAATTGCAGATAAAAATGTGGACCATTTTGCACAGTCGCTCAAGAATCAGTGCTGTTTTATTACCAAGGTTGCATGTTTAAATGACCAGATGTACAATTCAAATATCAAACCAGTAAGTGAAAATAAAACCACAATAAGATATACTACATTTTTTCCCCAAGCCTAATAACCAATATATACCATACAGTCTAATACAGAAACTACTGCTGCATCTCATATCATATCCCTCATAACCTTAACAACTACTAAAATATTTCCGAGTCTACTAGGTGATCACAAGGACACTGTTTCAGTGACGCACATAAGAGGAATCTCAGTTCACAGTGTTTCTGATGGAACAGTACCGGCCAACACCTAATGTGTTGCACAAAAACTGATACCAATATTTTCCAGATTTTGTCTTCAAGTTTGTTATTGCTCAAGTAATTCTACCAAACATACATAAAAGCACCAATTACTTCATTAAACTGAAACCTAAATCACGTAAAGCATTTACGGAAATGAGTTTACCAGGTTGGAGCACAAAATTCTAGGTGCTGCTTAATATGAAGCAGCTCTCTTTTTAATTAAAGCCGTTCCTCAAAGTACATTTAATAGACCGTGGATAATCCACAGTCCTGTGTGTACTGCCATTCTACTCTGCACTATTAGTTCCTCTTTAAGTTTGTGCCAAATAATAATATAATATAATATAATATAATATAATATAATATAATATAATATAATATAATATAATATAATTCCTGGTCATACCAATAAAAATACACTTTTTTTTTTGATAAAATGAAATATAGTACCATATTTCTTTAGCCAAAACTTCAACATTTTTGCGGGACAATGTTGGTCATTTTTGCATAGGAAAGAATATTAAACTCTGCAGTAAATAAGTACAGAATTCTGTAGTTTTTTCAAAATAAATAGAAGATTTCTCTCTTTCGTCATGAGCAATCAACGAATATCAAAAGAGAATTTGCTACAAAGTAACAGAAGGGCAGTAATTGCTAGTGAAGCATAAAAGAACAAACCTGGGACTCGATGAACAAACAATGTGAATTACTCACTCAACATCTGATGGGCAATATTCCAACATTGAATAATACTGACCTTGCAGACATGAATACGTCTTTTTTTTTTCTTTCAATTAACAAAATACATATCTACAAACATGTATAACAAATAAGCTTGATATATTTAGATATGTCCTATAGTGAGATCTATGCTTTAAAGTATAAAAAGGTGCACTTGTTTTAAATAATGTCATCTAGGAGATGTGGGTTCGCTACCCAGTCCAAAGTTCGTGGCTCAGAGGCTGCCATTATCATGCACATAAACTGCTTGCCGGTCCTTTTATCAATAGGGTAAATAGTAGTTGGCGTGAACCTCCTGTTGTTCTCAACAAACTCACAGAGCTTTTGATAGACATTGGGATACTCGTGGCGAAGAAACACCCCACGTATCCTCAACTCCCGCTGAATGTTGATGAAGCAGATCTCCCTGGCTTTCCTTCCTTCCTCGCCTTCCTTGTCAATGTCAGCCATACCTGGTGGAGGGGTCAGGATCAAAGTCTCCATGTCACTTTCCTTCCGATGGACTTTTTTTTCTGGGCTGTATGAGGCGAGAGCAACCTTGGCAAATTTCCTGACGGTTGGGGCTTGGACCCTTGGCGATGGTCCGTCAGGCACTTGATCACCAACAGCAATGGATACATTCAAGAGAAAACATTCATTTGGGTCATATTCCTTCCCCGCCTCTTGGAGCTCCTTGCAATATTCCCCAAGGTTATCCTTGAAGCTCTCCAGCTCGCGGAGAGATAGGTATGTTGGTGACATGAGCAGACTTTCCAGTCCAAATTGAAGGAAATTTGTGGATGAACCTGGATTTGGGAATCCCAAAAACAAGACCCCCCTGCCCCGAGACAGGTATCCCACTTTGGCTATACGGGAGAAAGCTTTGTGGACCTCTGTGGTTTCTCGACAGTGCTTAATAATGTGGCGACACACGCTTCCGATTCTCCCATACAGGCAACTCTCTTTGTGGATATCCCAGTCCTCACGGCGGCAATTGCGAGAGCAGTAGTAGGTATAGCAGCTGTGGCAGGATTTAAAGTAGAGGCAGGCATTAAACAAGGTCTCAGTCCGACGGCATTTATTGTTTGAACACATCATTGTGTCGTCCTCATCTGGACTCTGGTCAGGGGAGCACTCCTCTGTACTTCTCAGCCCATCACAACTCCCATCGGTGTCTCTTAGTGTGTCAGGATCTATCTTTATTGACGTGGGTTGTTTGTCAAGGGGCATGCCGCTTTCAGAACCTGGAGTCGAATCTTTTCTTGCTGAAGATACCGCTTCTTCTTCATCAATCAGCTTTTTGAGTTGATCAAGCAAATCTTCGCTGGTCCTCCTAGCTGGAGGTTTGTAATCGATGACAAGGTCAGCTAAAAGCTCGTCGAGTTGCTCTAAGCTTTGCTGTAGGGATGTGCTGCTGTGCGTTTTCTCTTTGGTAGACTCTCCAGAGCGGGATTTTGCGTCACGTTGAGGTGCTTCTTGATTTTGGGCACTTTTTGAATCTAGCACATCCCAACTTGCAGAGCGTGCTTCTGGTTTGCCAAGATTGCCCTGTCTGATATCATTGTCCGTGATTGTAATTTCAGGTGTGACAAACCACAGTTTACTTGAGGAGCTCATGGCCTCGGTTGGACTTTTGTCAATCAAAGAGTTTTCTGATAATGACAGTGCAGCGTAACGCCTTGGTGAGCTGGAAAGGTTGACAACCACAGGTTTTGGTCTTTCGCTTGAAGTTTGTGCCCCTTGACAAAGGAGATTCTCATCACTTTTCCCTCGAGGTACAGGCTGCTCCCGTTCTACGTGGGTATCTAAGATGTTATCCCAAGATCTTGAATACGATCTTGGGTCTGTTACGGTTTTTGCTGGCTCCATACATGGATTGGCATACCAAGTTGTGAGCTTTGGCTCTTGCCTAGCTCTTGTGGGAGTAATCTGTGAGACATAAGAGGACGGGTAATGGCTAGAGTAGCCAGAAACATCTGAGCCGTACCAGTCCTCAGATTGTGGCTGCACAACACGGGCATGTCGTCTTCCTTCAGTGTAATATGCCTTGGCTGGAATATGATGCTCCATTTGTGGAGTGTAGGGGTCAGCCATGTAGAAGATCCGAGGAGGGGCTGTTTGAATCTGATATGTCCTTGGGTCATCGCCATATAAAGTCCTTCCTGGAGGTGTCTGAATTATATACGCCCCTGGTTCACTTGCAGCATAGGATTTCGCATACACATGTTGTCCAGAGTAATGGTAGGGGTCGACTTCTGTATAATATGGCCGGGTTGGTACAGTATGAACAATGTGAGTCCTTGGATCCTGTACATATTGTACCTTAGGTGAGTAGGGTTGGCTAGGAATGCTGTATCGGTCATCTTGATAATAAGTCCTTGATGGCGCTGAAGATCCATACTTCCCTAAGTCCTCTGCATAGAAGAATTTAGTTGGCACATTGGGGCTTGAATGAGCCCTTCGTTCCCGTCCATAGTGTTCCCTTGGCTCCCGTGGTGAGACCACCTTTTGTAAAGGGATCTCCATAGGCTGCATGTAGCTATTTGGCATACTTTGGGAATACTGGTACGCCTGCCTGTATTCTCCCATGTAGGATTCAGTTGGAGTTGGAGTTCTTGAAGTGGAGAAATGGCGAGGCACTGTCAGACTCCTACTGCCACTGCCTGGATACTTCTGCCAAGGTATGTCCACTTGGGGTGTAGCTGCCTTTCGGCCACCTTGCTGCATGGCCGACTCATCTGGTTTGATGTCTACCCGGCACCGAACATGAGGACTAGTGGCAGGCTTTTCTGGCCTTCCTTCATCATAACCTTCAGGCACATATACAGGGGAATACCTGCTTGTATCACTCCTTTGCGGCTGCAGTTTGACAGGGTGTACTTCGTTTACATGTGCTCGCGTGGCACCATAGGAAGACTCTCTTCTTGGGGAAACTTCTGGCCTTGGCTGACTGTTTCTGTGTGCCCTTTGAGCCTCCCGACCCCTTCTTGCCACTGGCGGGGAAGCATCAAAAGATACAGGAGTTAGGCTGGTCTGAACCCGTGAGGCACTTCTAGATCTAGTCCTCCGCTTTTGTTCCGTCACCGCAATTTCAGCAGGCATCTCAGCAGCCGTTGGCTGTGAGGTGAGACGGTAGCTAAATATGTCTGGGGAAGAAAACCGGTGGAGTCCATGCCCTTGTTGGCGACCTAAGGCGTTCCAGGCAACCTCTGGATTGGCCGCGTATCTTTCAGCCCTTCTGTATGGGTACTCCATTGCTATTGTATGATATCGGAGTTTGTCCATAGACTCAGTGTCAAAGCTACGGCAGTGCCTCTTTTTGTTTTTGCTTTTTTTTCGAGTGTTCTCCAGTTTGCTGACAGATGGGGAATCACATTGTTTTGAGGGATGACAGGCTTTGGAGTGGGTTGAGAGGGAACTCACTTTGACATCTTGATACACAGTTGATACTAGTATGTCAGGTGGATCTGTGCGTGTCATCTTAATGAGACTCTTCTTATTTTCCCCATTAAATTTGTTTAGGTTAAGGTTCCCTGTAAGAGAGCAAGAAAACATAACAAGATTAGTTTTACTTTATATTTAGTACAGCTGCTGGACTTTGTGATATAAAGCATGAATACAAACAGTGTTTTTGGGAGCAGGTTTCGTAAATAAAAAAACGGCAATAGATCTTTTATTCATTAATTTATTTTCTTTTCAGCTTAATGCCTTAAATAATCTGGGATCGCCACAGGGAAATTAACCGCCAACTTATCCAGCATATGTTTCACGCAGCAGATGCCCTTCCAGCTGCAACCCATCAATGGGAAACATCCTTACACACTTATTCACAAACATACACTACGGACAATTTAGCTTACCCAATTCACCTGTACCACATGTTGTTGGACTTGTGGGGGAAACCAGAGCACCTGGAGGAAACCCACACGAACACATGCAAACTCCACACAGAAATTCCAACTGACCCAGCTGGGGCCCGAACCAGCGACCTTCTTGCTTTGGACAATTTTGTTACCCACTGCACCACTGTGAAGCCCCAGTACATCTTTTATATAATCTGACTTTAATTTCATAAACAATATCTGCACAATAATCAGTATTCTTGAGCCTTATGCTCTTTATCATTGTTGGATACTCATTGCATGTACAACATCACCTTGGGGAGTAAGTTGTCAAGCCAAGTTTCAGCGCAAATGTACCTGGCAAATAAACTCGATTCTGATTCTGAATGGCTTCAACTGTATTGTGTTGTTCAGCAAAATCTGTTGGCAGGATGTATGCAAGTAAATTGGAGGTGGTTGCCAGAGAAAGATGTTTCCCCTGGCAACAACATCCTCTCATAACAACCCATTGCAGCACACACAGTGTAAGGACTCAACAGAAACTGGATCCCTAATACAAAAAAAATAAATAAATCCTCCTATTCACCTTTGAAATATCTCGGAATGGTAAATCATTTAAGAACACTTACGTAATTCTAAACCTTTTTATCTCTTATGCTTGGTTTCAGATTCAGCTTGCAGCAGTTCAGATCTGCTGGCTGGAGGCAGGACAGAAATAGTGTCTCGAGTCTAAATTGGGCTCTTTGAAGGCTTTTAGACAACTTGTCATTCCCACAAACCTTATGCAAAACAAGTGTTCTCATTTGTCAAGAAACATCTTGTACAAACTCCCTGTGGTGGTGTAGAGGACACAACTGAAATAATGCACCATTTAAAAGAATAGTTAACCCAAAAATTAAAACGACAGCATCATTTAATCACTCTTAAGCTATTCTCTGTGTATATGTTTTTTTGTCTGTCAGACAAACACAGTAATTTAAACTTATAATGGCTTTTCCATAGGGTTACTCTGATCAGGATTTTTGCTGCTGATACCAAGTACAGATTCCTTAATCATGGTAAACAGTCGATACTGAGTACCGATTCTAATGCTTCAAGCTTTATAACGCATAAAGTACATTTTCCCTCCAAGTATGATACTTAACAGAAGATCTCGCCTTACCTAAAGAAATAAATTAAAGATGCTGCATATAATACACACCTCTTAAATCACGTCTCTTAAAACCATTTAGGTGTGAACATGTCATAGCCAGAAGCAGCTTTGAAGAAAATAATTAATTCATTCATTTTACTTCGGCTTAGTCCCTTATTTATCAGGGCTCGCCACAGCGAATGAACAGCCACAGAAAATAATATAACACAAATATAAAAATTGGTAAAAAAAAATTACAAACAATGCAATGGAAATGATGGACAACTATCCAACACAATGGACAGCACATTGAACACATTTCAGCAGTGGTCAGAAACATGTAAATAACTCATGAAAGAATACAGTTTTGTTAAAGCCAAGCACACCATTGTTTTTCTTGTGAAATTCTCAATAAGTTTGATGTGTCAAATGACCCTATTCCTAATTGAAAAACAAAAGTTGGATCCAAAATGGCCGACTTAAAAATGGCCGACTTCAAAATGGCCACCATGGTCACCACCCATCTTGAAAAGTTTGCCCCCTCACATATACTAATGAGCCACAAACAGGATGTTAATATCACCAACCATTCCTAGTTTATTAAGGTGTATCCATATAAATGGCCCACCCTGTAGTTAAAAAAGGTAAAATATTTTTGTAACCAAATTACATTGATCTGCTTCATAAGACATGTGTTGACCCCCTGGTGTTGTATGGGTTAGTTGTCCAATGTATTTATGCACTTTTGGAAGCTTCAAAATAAAAGTCACTACCCAACATCCTTATACAGCATTGAAGAGCCAGAATAAAATGTAAAGCTATTTCGACTGCATTCATCTCACAAGAAAAATTATTTTTTGGGTTAACTATTCCTTTTAAGGGGAAATAAAGCACTCAGTCAACTTTAAATTATTTTGTACATTGGATTCTACTTGTGAAAATATATTAAACAAACTCGATTAATGTAAGCATTTAGAAGAAAACTGCATGTTTTACTTTAGCTTTTAGACCTAAGGCGCTGCCATTTTAGAATAATAATAATAATAATAATAATACATTTTATTCACAATGCGCTTTTCTAAGACCCAAAGCGCTACAACAACAACAACAACAACAACAACAACAACAACAACAACAACAACAACAACAGAGAAATGAAACATGTAATAAAATACAATACATAAGAAAGTCTAAAATGTAAGCACAGAATAATCAAGAATCTAAAAATGCAGTCTTAAAAAGATGAGTTTTTAGCATCTTCTTAAAACTAGCTTGTGTAGAACCATTTTTTACAGAATAAGGGAGAGCATTCCATAACCTGCAGCAACAGAGAAGGCTCTCTCCCCCATTGATTTTAGTCTACAGGGTGGCAGTTGAAGGGTGAGAGTATCAGCAGACCGCAGGGAACAAGAAGGTGTGTACTGAAAGACAGTGTCTTTATATTATAGATATTGGAAGGAACAATACAATCTAGAGCTTTATATGCAAGTGTGAGTGTTTTAAAAACTTTATGGGACTGAGCTGGGAGCGAATGCAAGCTATAAAGCCGATGTTTCTGACGTCACGGGGTTGGTTCTGTTTCCTCAGCTGAACAGATACAGTGGAGATAAAGGACTGAACACGGAGAGTGAACAGCCTAATTTAACCCAATGCGTCAAGTTGTGGATGTGGAGCTGCTGCAAATACAAGCATCAGATGTGTGTCTAATATAAAAGTATATATATTTATTTTATTTTTTCCCTTTTAATTACTGATCATTTGACGCGATTTGATTCACTCTCCGTATTACGCTGCTTGACTGCCTGTCTGGGTTTCAACCATGGTAGTAACAAACTGAACACGGAGACTGGACAGCCTAAATTAACCCAATGCATGAAGTCGCTGACGTGCGTCGCAGAGCTAGTGCAAGTACCACAAATACAAGCATTTACGTTGTGCCTTAAGTTGTGTATTTTTCTTTAGTTAATACCTTTCGTTTGATACGCTGTGGTCCAGTCTCTCATGCTGCTCCAGCACTGCCTGACGAGGGGATTTACATTGAGACTAATGCAACAAATAAAACGATACATGACTTCACACTTTACTAAATCACATCTTTGTGGATTATGTCAAGACATATTCCCTTTTCAAATCGATCAACTAGATCTCTCAACATATATGAAGGACTTAAAAACCTGCCATGTAAAAAAACGTGCCGATCTTAGTTTGGTTTGAACGCGAAAAGAGGTGAGCAGCTGAAATAGTGAAAAGTGAAAGTACCCGCCCCCATTACTTCAGTAGCAGACCTTGTTGAAGCCAATACAGTCAGGCAGCATAATACAGAGTGGACTAAAGTGCTTCAAATGATCAAAAATTAAAAGGGAAAAAGAAAAATAGAATAAATATATTTTTTATATTAAACACACATCTGATGTTTATATTTGCAGCAGCTACACATCCACAATTTCACACATTGGGTTAAATTAGTCACCATGTTCAGTCATTTACTTCCACTGTATCTGTTCAGATGAGGGAACAGAACCAACCCCGAGATGTCAGACGCAGCGATATTCCAAGATGGTGGAGGCCTAGGTCTAAAATCTATAGTAAAACATGCCGTTTTCTTCAAAATGGTTACATTAATCGAGTTAGTAATATATATTTCCATCGAAGTGGGAACCAATTTACTAAATGATGTAATATTGCCACAGCCATATCACCCTGGAGCCCAAGACCAGTTACTCACTGAAGCTAAGCAGGGCTGAGCCTGGTCAGTACCTGGATGGGAGACCACATGGGAAAACTAGGTTGCTGTTGGAAGTGGTGTTAGTGAGGCCAGCAGGGGGCACTTAACTTGTGGTCTTTGTGAGTCCTAATGCCACAGTAAAAGTAAAGGGGACACTACACTGTCAGTGGGCACCGTCTTTCGGATGAGATGTTAAACCGAGGTCCTGACTCTCTGTGGTCATTAAAAATCCCATGGCACTTCTCGTAAAAGAGCAGGGGTGTAACCCCGGTGTCCTGGCCAAAGTCCTTCAATCGGCCCTTGCGATCATGGCCTCCCAATCATCCTCATCCACCTAATTGGCTCTATCACTGTCTCTCCACTCCACCAATAGCTGGTGTGTGGTGAGCGCGTGGCAGCCGTCGCATCATCCAAGTGGACGCTGCACACTGGTGGTGATGTGGAGAGACCCCCCCCCCCCTCATGACTGTGAAGCGCTTTGGGTGTATGGCCATACACAATAAATGCGCTATATAAATACACATTACATTACAACTTGACTAAGTGCTTCATTTCCCCTTTAAGGTACAAATCACATACAAAAACACTACATGGATTTTTTAATTCACATTTAGTTCCACCTCATGAATGTCTATTTTCTTTGGAAAAGGAGATTAAATGTAATTCAGCACCTCCTACATCTTCCCTACAGCTACGTTTATCAGATTGAGAAAAACACGTCATGTTTCCAATGACAGACATTATGTAAAGAAGGGACTACAAACATTACTATTCCCAGACGCTGTTTACTCACAGCGTGTTTGTCTGGCAGCTTTTCACATTGCCTCACACAGC